TTGCATGATACTGGGATACAGAGAAGCAAAATCCAAAGTGGCGATGGGCATAGAGTAATAGCCTCTTGTGGGCTCGATGACAGTGGCGCCTTCGTACTGTTCTTCCGACGACTCGGCCCGGATGTTGGGGATGACCAGCTTCTGTTCCAGAGCTTTTCGGAAAAGTTGGCTCAGGAATTTGACCTGCTGGCCGCGAGAGAGGAGGAAATTGAATGGGACACCAGTGACTCTTGCCATTTCCGTGTAGTTCTCAAGACAAGAGAGCTTGTCCATCAGTCTCTGAGGAAGATACGCGTCCTTCAAACAGTACAAAGCCAATCGTCGTCTCGACTCAGGAGTGCCTTCAAATAGCTCCGTGATCATGGAATAGTGAACATCCTCTTTCTGTTCGCCTAGAAAATGGGAACAGACCGAGTTCAGGGTGTAACTTCGAAGCTGATGGTCGCGCTGAACCAGCTGCAACAAGTCGAGCTGGAGTCGCCCATTTGTGTTTGTGGACTTGGTGTCGCGGTTTCCCATTTGCTTGCTGGAGAAATTCGTGTCTTTCGCAATAGATCTCACAGATGTCCGAGACCAAAAGTCAAAGCCAATAACTTTGAGATGTTTCGCTCGTTCGAGGAGGTAGGGAAAGTCGAAGTTGGATATGTTGTACCCTGTGATGATATCTGGATCAACTTTTTGGAGGAACTTTTGCCATTCCGCAAGCATGTCTTCCTCCCTGTCGAAGTCGAGGATCTGTGTGGCCACAATTGGACTGGTAGTGTCGAGGCAAAACACGTTCCGAACGAAGGGCTTCTTCTCTCCGTACCTTGTGACGACGTTGGCGATTTGGATGACGGAGTCATGGGTGGCCTCGGGAAAGATACCTTTGCGACCTGCACACTCGATATCGAAAGAAAGAATCCTCAGAGGCGCCATCTTCGACCACTCGCCGACAGGTTTGTGCGCAACGAGGTCACGATAGCTCACTTGGGCCTCGATTTGGCAGTTCGATTGTTTCTCGTTGACGAGCTGGTATCGATTTGCCGGCGCTTCAACCCACGACATACCGGCAATCTATGCAACAGTAAGCTTTGTTCTGTTTCTGGAAAGGTAATCTTCGAGGGTCAACATACCGAGCAGTCCACCATGAAGCGGAGAATGTATTGGATATTGTCAAAGGTCAAGATAGTGCCATCAGCGCTTTTCCACATACCCTTCCAATTGGCATCACCTTTTTCAATTGTTGTTCGGACCTTATTGATATATTTCGGGTCTGTCACTGCGACCTTGATGTAGGGGTTCTGGATGTTGCCTTGGAACCCGTAGATGTTTTCCCGCATGGTTAAGGTGACCGAGTGGATGGCAGTCGTATGCATACCGACCTGCGTCTCCAAGTATGTCCGGAACTTGGGGCAGTCATCGGCACTGAAGGATACGGGAGCGGCAACATAAAGATAGTGTTTGAAGTCTTTCACGTGGAGCAGGACAGAATTGCCGTACTCGGTGACGCCGAAAAGCTTGACGGTGACCTGCCCGCCAGGCAACGTGCCCTCTTCGGCCTCGATTGATTGGAAACAGAGCGAGTCCTTGGTAGGATCGAAATCATTGGGCACGGGCGGACGCTCCCATGCCTGGTCTTTCTCTGAATTGTTCTGCTTGAGATCGGAGATGTCCTGGCTCATGCGCTCGAGCACCTCGCTCTCGAAGGCACTCTTGGGCTGACTGGACGCCAGTCTACCCTTGCCATCATTTTGGGGGGCGTTGAAGCGAACAGCGGGCGAGGAGGAAACAGCGTCGAGGCGTCGCTTTTTGGAGGACGATGGGCTTGCGGGAATGTTTCGACGGGCGTTCGATGCCTCGCCGAACACACGCTTCTTCGGCAGGATCGTGGCCGGCATGATGAAGAGTTGTATCGATAGAAGTGAAAAGTGTGGTGTGTGCAGAGCCAATCTCTCAAGTCATGGGCGGGCGCGTTGTTGGCTTTAGCATCGCGCGTGGCTTCCAAAGGGTTTGTTTCGTAGGTCGTTGGAAAACAGCCCGTTACTGGCGTCCAAAGTGAATCCGACAAGGGCGAAGCGGGAGCCGAGCGTGGAACGCGCCCTGGACCTTGTTACGTGACTGCCCCACTTTCTGAGCGCGACTGCTTTAATTGACCTGCCTAAGAGGTTCCTGCCAGCTCTTACAAGGGACTCTAGCTAACACAGCAGTTTGCCGAAAACTATACATATTTTCCAATAAATCATCAAAGCACAGCATAATTAGGTAGCGAGCAGGGAGACGACTTTGGAGAAAGAGAGCAAGATAGAAACACGTGACCTCGCGTTAATTAACCCAGCCCACTTTCATCTGATCTCAACACCCCGCTATAATTTAGCGCCCTTCAATCCAGGCCTCCAAATCACGGCCCGCCTCACGTCACTGTATCCTATTCCTATATCTGCAACGCCGCTAATATTCCTTCTCAGAGCCAGAGGTGGTTGGATACAAAGGGCTCCTTTTCTCCGCCTTCTAAAAACCAAGTAACAACAACTACAACAAACTCACAATCAAGTTGGTTATTTACCAACCATTGATGGCAGACCGCGCGCCATCGCGAGCCCCAGGGGGGCCCGGAGGAGGCGGCATATCCAAACTCCGTGGCGGCGGGATCCCGTCATCGAGCGTACGGCGGAACCTCTTTCAAAGCCAATTAACGCGCCGGCCAACAGCAACAATATCCGGAAAATCCTCGTCGACCACGACCACGTCTACATCGGGTGAAACACTACGGCTGGACGAGGACCCCGAGTCGTCTGCGGAGTCGTGCTCGGACATTGTGATCCGTGACAAGAACGGAGAGATCGAGCTGACCGATCCGTCGACGCCGCCGCTGGACGACCCGGATGAGATGCTGGCGCTGGACACACAACAAGAGAGCGAGAAAGAGAGACAGCGGCTGGCCGAGGCTGTGAAGCAGCACCAGATTGACCAGAATAATGTTCCTGCGCAACCTGAAGGCAAGTCTTCCTATTTTTCGTTGCCAGCTCGCACCGCCGCCCACCCTTATTTCCTGTTCGAAGACGAAACAGGGCTGAACAACAGGTATTCAAATACAGAGCTGGTCGAGGCCGTCAAAGCTAGCTTAAGAGCAAAAGTTGCCGCGCTGTCAGAGGATAACTGGATGTTTGAGCGGGAGGAATTCCCACGTCACGTCTAAAGCCACCGCCAACAGCAAGCATTACTATTCTCATGTACAGCGTTTCATTGTACAGCGTAAGACGTCGTGGGGATGGTCTCCCATAATATGACCTAATCCTTTTGTTTTGTCTCGCCTTGCCCACCTAGGTGTGCATCTCTCAAATATGTCTTGCCCACATATTATGGTAGTGGTGTTGTGTTCCTAGTCCAGACCCTCTGCAGTCGGCGCCGCTTCGACTCGTCGAGTCGCTGGCCTGCCGGGGCCGCTGCCGCCGCCTCCGAGAGCACCTCCGCCACCCCCAAACAAGCTGCCCATCATGTCGAATAACGGATTGCTTTGCCGGGGTCTCTGTATCCCAAAGTACATCTCTGCAATCATCTCCAGCGGCGTGTCCCACGCACCGCCCAGCTCGTTGATATGGGCACCGTACTTTTGACGCAGCTGACGGAATAGGTCTGGGGTACCCTTTTGGACAGCAAGTAGGAGCAAGCCCAAGAAGTTAAGCAGTGGCAGGCTGGGGAAGATGCGAATGTCTGAGCCCTGGGAGCTGACGTCCTGGACACTCAGGGCCTTATTCTCGGCGCTCAGCGTGCTGATGAAGGTTCGGTATGATGCATTGGCAGCCCGCACATTAGCGACCAGCAGATAGGGAAGCACGGCCCGCGCGGCGTAGAGGGGTGCCGTATGCGATTCGTCCTCTTTGTACCACTCATACTCCATGCGCGTCAGCACTTCGGGCGAGTCCTTAGTGCCTAATATTAAGTGCCTTTCGGCCTCGTCCGTCTCGTGCTCTTCGGCGTAAAGTGATCCAACAACGTGGTGTAGCTCCGGATCGCCGGCAGGGTAGTCGCCGAACTTCTTGGACCATCTGTTTCTATTAGCACCGCCCCTTGTCCGTCTTCCATCCCTCGTTGGACAATAACTCACTCGATCATGACCTTGATGTATTTTTTCCTTGTTGGCTCCTCGCTGTCAAACAGGCGCAAACATGTCAGGAGCTTGCCCTTGGACACCGCGTCCGGTTTCTGCTCGGCCTGCTTGTAGACATCGACAAGAAAAATGGCAAGGTCGCCGCCGCTGCCGCCCTGGCCCGCCTTCAGCAGCGCCTGCGACACGCTCGAGAGGAGGTCGATGGCGGCGCCCCAGCTCTGGGCCTTGATGTACCGCGCTGCTACCAGCCGCGTCTCCTGCTGCGCCTCGTACTGCTGCTCAAACTGGCCCTCAGAAATTCTCTTCTGCAGTCTGGTGATGATCTTCTCGATCTTCTTGCTGTCGCGTGCGCTCGCCATGGATTTGTCCATTGTTTCAACCTTGGACCGCCACACTCTCTCCGTATTGTCGGGTGTTAGGGGAAAAGCTTCGTTGCTAGTAAGCAGTCGGTCTGCTTTTGGATGCCGTTAGGGGAAAGAGCTGTTATGAGTTTTCGTCTTCGTTACGCTCAAACAAGTAGGCAGGTCGTTGTCGTCGTCGCAGCAGCAAAGTGATGTACCTATAGCAAAGGCAGTTGTAAACAGGGGAATCCGTCACTTGCCCTGCTTGCCCCGCAATATTTTCCCGACAGCTTGTAATCGGTCAAGGTGGAAAGGAATTGTGGGGCGAACGTCACACCCCCCCATCTTCGCAAGCCCCGCTATATCAAAGCCCGTACACTAATTTAACATCTTAAGCGTCGCCAGCACCCAATTTTTTGGAAAGAACCAAATCCCAACTTCCTTTCATTGTGTGCAACTTCACACAATGTCTCACCCTATACACACACACTTAACTGCCGCAGATGGCTGACACGATGGAGGAGGGAGGCTTTCTTACCGGTAATATCCGGTTTTCCCCCTAATACAAGGCGACGTTAGTGTAATGGTTATCATCTGCGCTTCCCATCATGTTTGCGCAGGATTCGAGTTCGATTCTCGAACGTCGCACTCGTTTTTGCATCTCTTTACGAAACAATACGTGCATGAATGTTTCGATGTCCAAGCATTGGATGAAACTTGGTCACGTTTTGAGCCACTGGATGGAAGCAAAGAGCGGCACAGCAACTATATAACCTCGGCCTGTGCTGCTAACTCTGTTCTCCTTGCATAATCGCACCATTGCAACATCGCATCATCGGTGGAAAACACAAACATGAGACGGATAGTCACTGAATCCATAATAGGGGTATCATGCATTTATTTCATCATATGAAAAAGCTTCTCGATGGAAACTAGATGCACTTACACCTACTAAGCGCCGTGGCAATGCTATATGCACCACTCGTAGTATCTGCTGAATTGGATGGCAGATTATTCTGTGAACCCGTCAGGAGATTCGAGATGACCACCCGTGGGCTCTTCAGATCATTCCTGATTCGTTCCGGGTAGAATCCATTGGCCCGTACTCGGCGCCATTTCCTTCGTCGTGGACGAGAGAAATGGGGTGGGCAGCTCCGGGCCGAGCAATAAGAGGGGCCCGAGGGCGTTCCTGCATCTCCGGGCTCTTCGGGCTTGAGCTGTCGAGAGACACTCTTGCTAGCCTCTCGGTGGTCTCTACACCAACTCTTGGGACACCATTTTCCATATCTATGTCGTGATCCCCAGTAGGTGTAAAAAGATTCACAGGATGGTCAGCTGAAGCTATTTGTCCAGCTGCGAGCGATATATCTACCAAGGGTTCCCAGTCTCTATCATCATGAGAACCATAGAGGGTGGGCCCTTCCTCGAACGCGGCGTCGCGATCATCGACGTCTCCTATGGACGCACGATTGGTCGCAAGTGAATCGAGGCTCACAGATGTTTTCAGCCTCTTGGGCGAGCTCTGCTGCTGTTCGGCCTGTGAGAGCTCTTGCTTGAAATGGCGATTGTCGAATTTTACAAATGTCTTCAGAGCGTCTGACAGAGGAACCGGATCCTCGTCCAAAGCCTTGTCCGTTGCAAATATGAGGATGGGCTTGCAGCCAGTGCCGCATGCCTCGCGCATCACGACATCATAAGTTGTGATCTATTGAGTTCACAGTCAGCATAAGGTCCTACCCATTTACGCAAAATTATTTTACATACCCCGGATAGCACGACGTTGTTTTCATCTGGTAGGCACGAGATCTTCCACCACTGGTCGGTTGGTGAGGAAGTTTCATCCATTTCCATCAACACTGGCTCCCGCCTCCTCACAAACACTGTGTTCTGGTCGCTGACTACACCGCGGAGGGTATATTTATGAGTCGCATTCCACTTCGGGTCGTCTGATGGACCCGTTAAAAGCGAGCACAGATTGGCGTAGGCTTCCTGGAGCGCCTGTCTTTCCGGCAGGATAACAACTAGCATATGATTGTCAGCAAGCAAATTGCAACGGTTCTTTGGTTCATCTTACCATTCATTACACGATCAATATATGCCAGACTCTCCTCGAGTTGTTGAATCTTGGTCTCGTAGTGCGCGACGACTTTAGCCTCCTGGGGCCACAGCTTCGGTTCACCCGAGTGCTCAGGTAGATAATAATCCTCGCCGCCATTGTCGTGCGCTTCGGTATGGTCTCGCCAAAAGGCGGCGTTTTTAACCTGCGTGATCCTTGCCTGGCATCGTCGGATGGCCGCCTTGATCATGACCCTGCGGTCCCAAATTTTGTTGTTACTTTGGACGTGTCTTGTCAATGCGGCTTCCTTCTCTGCGTTTTGCTGGAGTGCCGCAGAAACTTCCGACATCTTCATTTGAATCTCTAGCACCTGCTGTTTGTGAACAGCCATATATCTGTCGATATAGAACGTTTCGGGGACTTCGATGGGCTTTGGTAGAAAGGGCTCCCTCACTGACCCTGAACCTCCAAAACGAAACGTGATGACATCAGACGCCTCGGTGATCAAGGCCATCCTAGCAGCCTCAAGATCTTCGTTTGGGGTCCCAATCTGCATATAAAAAAGCAAGTCCCAAATGCTATACAGGTTGCTCGTTTTGGTAAGGGTCTCCTTAGGACAGTCCGCATCGAGAAGAACAAAGCGAGACGTAGAAACTGGCGCATTATCCAAAATCGGCATCACCTCAGCCGTCATGATAAGCGCAGAGCTTGTCGACCCGGGTTCCTGGACGGCATCATAGGCATCCTGGTAGCTGCGAAAGAAATCCTGTTCCGAATCGCCAGGTAGGCTCTTTTCCGTATATTTGGCATCGGCAAGGATGTCTGCTGTTCCGTAAGTCCGGTCCGTCGAGTCAAGGAAGGCAATCAGACGGTGAAGCTCGTCTGTCCAAGGAGGATACGAGTTTACCGCGTAATAGTTTCCCTGGGCTGCCTCTTTTGCCGCTTGCTGCGCTGGCGGCAGGATTGGCTCACCCTTCCACCATTCTTGGTTACTTCCATATCCGTACTCTGGAGTGCTGCCGACCTGAAGAAGTGCGTTTCGGGCAGCAGGAATCGCGTGAAGTATGACCAGAACGGCGCCGAGACGATGGAATCCCCAATCCGTTATACGGCACCGTAGAAATACTGGAGCCGTCGGTGCTCTCGCTCTCAGAGCTGCCTCCGGGTCGGGGTCGCGATTCTGGAGACGTACCATGGCCCACTCATTTGGGTCATAATCAGGTCTATTCGCAGGGCCAAACAATACTGCATCCCCGCCCGTGATGCCCGACTGCTGTGGTAGCGGTGGCGGAGCAGGTAGTCCCTGAGGACTTTGAACGCCCGAAGCACTAAGCGATTCATTAATTGCGCGCTGTAGCTGTGCTTCCTCCTCTTGCCTGTTACTGGGAGCGTTAGTTGTGTATTCGGCAGCTGTAAGATCGATGACGCGGGAGAGTGGAGATCGGGTAGTGGCTCTCGAGGGTGGGCGAGACGGTGCGCCGGCGGCATAGAAGCTGTTCGGCTCGGACCCGTACAGGATTTGGTTGTCGTCGGCGGGGTGTATTACAAAAGCTACCTCCCGTCAGCATACAAATGTCTTGTTTGAACGCTGCAACTTTATACTCACATGGAGGGGCGGTATTGTTAGGTGCGGAGTTGGTATCTCCTTCGCGATTTGAGGAGAAGACGGACTCGTCCCATGCGTACTTCTGAGTGAACTACAGAGGGAAAGTTGAGCCAGCTGAACTGTGAGGGGTGGCGCGGTTTGGGTAGCCCACCTTATCAGGCGAGTCAAAGTATTCGTTGGTGACAGCCTCGACGTCGTTGTTCTTGCTATTGAGCGCAGTGATGACCACGGCACGATCCAAGCCGGTCAGCATCATGATCGTTTCGACCTGCTCCGCAGACGGCGGGTTGAACGCCATTGTGTCCTTGGCGCCAGTGGCGCGGCCTGCGGATGTCAGAGATGGCTCGTATTGTGGTTGCTAAGATGCCATCGATAGGTCTGCAGCGTGAAACCGTCGGGCGCTGACAGACTAGTCGGGGGCGACGTAGGCGGAGAGCTCAGGCAAGGTGCCCGAGACTGACGGTTCCTGGTATCCGGAAGATGGGAGCAATCAATGCGCTGAGTTGGACCTTAGTGAAGCAATAAATAAGCGAGAATATTCCAGATGAAGGAATCGCTTCCCGGCGTTTCGACCAATACGCCGAGAAGAGGTCGCTGGTCAGGATGCCCGTCTTTGAAATAAAGGTGACGATTAAGAGCGGCGGTTTTCTTAAGTGCCCGTTGACAGAAGTTCGTAATGTTGAATGTGAAAGCCGCTCTTGGCAACGCCAACAACCCTGCTCGGGCGCGCGCCACCTTCCAGGGTTCGGTTCAGTAGAAGCAGATTACCCCGCGAACTCTCTCCGCCCCAAAACCTTGCCCAACTGTGCTCTTGAATATCGGATCGCAGTTGTCGTGTTATTTGAAGCCAAAGGGGTTTAAGAAAGAAAACTAGCTAGGTAAGTACCTTAAAAAAAGATTAACGTGGATTTGTTTTCATGGGAACCTGGAAGGTGAGATGGGTTTCCACAGATCAATGAGGCTTATGGTAGCCCTCCGACCTAGGGGGTCATGGGGTATCTCTCAACATGATCCAGTTCCTCATCAGCTGGCTTCGTCACTCCGCGGAGTCGCCTCATGACTTGATTGGTAACTAGGTAGGTATCCCGACTCCTCGCTCAAACGATGGATCATGAAACGTCTCCACCAAGTCTAGAAACATCTGTATGTAGCCGGCTTTTTCCTTTTGCCTTTTTCGCCAAAGCAGCAAAGCTAATGAGATTGCTAAATCGTCTAGAAAAGCCTCCCTCAAAATAATCTAGGATAGAATACCATCTCGAAGAGTCTAATATTTAGTCACGAGACTCCCGTCTAGTCATGAGGCGTGAGATGAGATGGTGTTCGCCATGGCTATTAGTCCCATAACAAGGAGAGTGGCAGGTCAACCGCATAAATACAACCAGATGCTCTTCCTCCACAAGTAAAAACCGTAGAACGCCGACCTGGTTGGTGACCAACGCTATGCATGTTATAAGGTGATGAAAATAGGAAATGCGAGACAGCGCTCGAGGCGAGGGCCGATATGTGACCGGGAATAGACGTGTTAGATGCGCATGGGCTGTTCGGGGCTTAATATCTTCAGTCGTCGTCTTCTTCTTCCTCATCCTCTTCGTCGCTTCCGTCTTGCTCCTCTTCCTCTTCGTCTCCGTCCTCAAAATCTCCCATATCCTGGTCGTCGTCATCACTTCCTGTGTCGCTGCCGCCAAGATCGAGCTCCTCGTCACTTGCAGCCCAGAAGTCATCGTCGTTCTCGGCCTTCGGTGGCGGCGCCGGCTCGAAGCTCTTCGGCATCTCGAACCCGACAGGTATTTCCTTCTTTGACCGCTGAACCGTCGCCCGGGCCTTCTCCTCGTATTCGGTCCGACGGTCGCGGTACATGACGCCGGCGTCGACATTGGCAGGCGAGCTGATCTCCGGGTCGTCGAGTAGTAGGAGGACCGACCGAAGCACGCTCTCGGCGCCCTGAAGCGGCGACCAACGCTCGCTTGCCTGCTCGCCTGACATCAG